AGAGAGAATGTGAGTTCATTGGAATCTAGTGTCTTAATTACTTTCATATACACTACTAAAGCAATAGTGGCATTGATTCTCTACTCTGTTTGAGGGGGTCTGGTGTTGGGACTGGCAGGACTGAGAGTATTTAGATATGAATATGGAAAGTGGAGTGTACATGGACTCTCGAACGAAAAATAGGGAAGGAACCCAAGATCTTTCATAGCAACTCAGGCAACTTGGAAAACATTTTCTATTTTCCCCCTTATTACACTTCATTATAGAGTTTATTCATTTATGTATTATACTTAATAGTTTATTTTTCTAAAATCTCTCTTTTCTTTCTAGATTGAAACAATTGGCAAAAAGGTGTCTTCCAAGAGAATTCCATATGCTCCTTCTGGTGAAATTCCAAAGTTTAGTCTTCAGGATCCACCTAACAAGAAACCCAGAGTATAAACATTGTCATTTTTATCTGTAATTTTTTTGGTACTTCAGGATAGTGAATATCTATCTGATATTTAATGGTAAATGAACCAAGTGTTTTTAAGGAAACCAAACTATTTTTTTAATAATCAATTTATATTAGCTCTATGGGAATCAGCATATCTAGTAATTATGAATCTAGAATTTTTTTACATATTTTTATAATATTGTTACCTCAGTGGCTGGATGAGTGGCAAATAATTGTGTTGGTTTTAATGGTGTCAATTTTTGTAAATCAAAAACTTCAAAGACTTTTTACTTTACAAAATATCCATAGGCAGCATTTTAATATCACATTATAAAGGGAAAGGTACTCTTCAGTTTTTCTGATCATCGGTTTGATTACTTGTCATTAAATATGTATTTTAAATCAGAAGATTGCTATGCTAAATCCTAGGCAACCCTGTTAACCTTTCAGAGTGTCCTGGAGACTGAGAGGCTTCTGGCTTTATTGGGTTAGGTGTTTTTCACACCGTTTCTTGTCTCTATAAACTTAGGAGTAGGATGCAATGGACAGAACGGGGCTTTTTGTGCTGGTTTTTTTTATGCTTCTAATCTTTTCCCTATGCTTCTATGTTAGAAATAACCCTTTTGTTTAATGAGCTGTGTCATTGATTTGATTATTTTAGCCCATAAAGGTCATCACTGTTCATTTCCAATCAATCCAAATAAGATTAAATAGCCTTTTTTAAATTGTTTTTTAACATGAAGAGAACATCAGTAGTATGGTCTATTTCATTTCTCTTCACTTCTCATTTTTCCTCACTGATGATCATTTTTTTAGTACAAGAGCCAAAAATATTTGTTACCTTGACTTTGCATTTTTATATTTATTTTTTGTTGCGATTTTCCTCCTTTTATTTTAAATAGGAAAACTGATATGATCTCATGTGTAAACTTAAAGATGTAGATTTTACAAATTATGGATAGCATAATTCTAAAATAAGAATTTTTGTATGTATTTCCATCTGCTTTTTTCTTATGTCTCTTGTTGACTTATGTTTGATTGCTTTCTCTTCTGTTTTATTGTTGAAATGTGTCAGATGTCCATTTGATGCTTCTGCTAAGAGTGTACAAACTGAGTTAAGCAGATACAGGTCTTATACCTTAGGAATTAATGTGGTTCAGTAAGAACACAGAGACAAATATAAAGATAAGGACAGAGACATCTGTACAGATATCAAATACATAAATAAAATATTCTGCATAAACAACTGTGTAGGTGTATTTTTGTCACAGTGCAAGAAACTAATGAGTCATGACAGCCTGATATTAGACAGGAAAAAAATCACTCCTTTTTTTGAGAAAAGGGCATCACATCATACTTCCAGATGATGCAAGAAAGGGAGGAAATGTAGCAAATGGACCAGATATCAGCAAACTATAGCTCATGAGCCAGATCTGCCAGCCGCCTGTGAGCTAAAAATGTTTTTTACATTTTTACATAATTACATTTTGAATGGTTATGTAAGTCCCCAATTTTGCCCCTTAGCCTGAGAAGCCTAAAATATTTGCTATCTGGCTCTTCAAGAAAAAGTTTGTAGACTCCTGAAAGAGACAAACATGAGTGTTTGAACATAAGATGAACCCTTACTCATAAGATTTGAAAGTGAGGATGAGCTTATTTATTAGAATTTGCTTTACATTTCTGCTTGAAAATACTCTTGTATTCTGCTCAATAATTTTATATTCTAGTAAAGGGATTATAACCCAAAAATGCCTTACTAAAGCAGATAGAATTAGGCACTCTTTTTGTTGTAGCACGTGCCTAGGATTGATTTTTTTTTAATGTGTAAAATACTGATTAAGACGTAAGAGATGGAAAATACTGATTAAAAGATAAATGGAGGAAAATGGGCAAAAGACAGCTCATAGAGCCTTGTAAACTTGATGTTTGTGGTGGAAAGGAAAAACAAAACAAAACTGGAGAGGTAACAGCAATTTGAGAACTCTGAAAAGTTGCAAGAATGTGGTTACCCTTTTCTTCCCCTACTAAGAAAATTAAAGACCATTAAAAAAATTTTGTTTGTTTTAAATATATCTTTATTGATTTCAGAGACAGGAAGGGAGAGGAAGAAAGAGAAACATCAATGATGAGAGAGTCATTGATCAGCTGCCTCCTGCAGGCCCCCGATTGGGGATCGAGCCTGCAACCCGGGCATGTGCCCTGACCGGGAATCAACCGCAATCTCCTGGATCCTAGGCCGGTGCTCAACCGCTGAGCCATGCCCAGCCCAGTGAAACCAAGTTTTTAAAGAAGCTAAAACAAAAATAACTGATTAAATATGAAAATAACCATTAATGATAAAAACAAAATGCAGTATGGGCACAAAGGTTAAGTTCACCGCAGCTACCTGTTTGCCCTGAAGTAAAGGCAGCAGGTCAAAAGACTGTCTGGATTTGGGGTTATACGTGTTGAATTAAGTCCATGCTCTATTTTCATTCTCTCCTGAAACCTTACTAAAATGGCAATAAGGGAGAAAGAAAGCTAGAAACAGACAAGGATAGAGAAGGGGAAAGAAGGCACCAGTGGATGAGAGTTGTCAACCAATTTTAGAAGGCGGAATGCAACAGGCGGCTAAGTAGCTACAAATGTAGGCAACTACTAGATGTAGGTAACTGTTCCCATAGAACTCCAGAATGGGAGGCACCAGATGCCACAAAAGGTGGAGCTGAGATGTGCGCCTAAAAATGGGGCTGAGATGGAAGATTATATAAGGAATAGTTAGACGCACCCAAGTCTCTACCCTACCCCACGCCCAGAAAGAACCTTCCCACCCCTTACTTTCATAGGATATTAACAGGTTTATTTTCAGGAGTAGAGCCAGAAAGTTTCAAACTTGGGGAGGGTGTTAGTGAGATTTCAGACTGGAAAAAGGAAACTAAATTAAAACCTACATACTGAGCAGAGAGACCCGCACACGCCTTTCTTACTTGCTTTTATCCATCTGGCTCTGAGAAAGCTGGCAGCCAAGTTTATAACCCTCAAGGTAGGATAACTTGAATGGTTTTAGAGAAATAATCCTGACATTGGGGAGTCCATTGAAAAATCCAGCTCATTTTCCTGGCCGATGTGCCTCTGGTTGGATTGTCATCCTATACACCAGAAGGTGGGAGGTTCGACCCCTGGTCTGGGCACATACCTAGGTTGTGGGTTCGATCCCTAGTCTGGGGGCATGCAGGAGGCAACTGATTGATGTTTCCCTCTCTCTATCCCTCCCTCCCTCCTTCCTCTCTCTAAATCAATTAAAACAAAAAATATCCTTGGGTGAATATTTTTAAAAAATTAAAAAGAAAAAAATCCAGCTCACCCTCACCCCCAGCACTCTATAGTGAAGTGTGTGTTTTTTTAAATTGGATTTATTGGGGTGACATTGGTTTGCAAAACCATACAGGTTTCAAGTGTACAACTTAATAAAACCTCATCTGCACACTGCATTATGAGCCCATCCGCTCTAAGCAAAGTCTCTCTCTTCCTCCCCGTTTCCCCCCCTTTCCCCACCTCTACCTAGCCCCTACCCTCCTTTACCTCTGGCTATCACCACTGTTGTATCTATGTGTTATGTTCTTTGGCTAATCCCTTCACCTTCTTTCACCCAGTCCCCCTTTCCCTACCCTTCAGACAGCTGTCAGTCTGTTCCTTGTATCCATGCCTCTTTCTATTTGTTGGTCAGTTTATTTCATTCATTAGATTCCACATATGTGAGATCATATGTTATTGTCTTTCTCTGACTGGCTGATAGCTCCCCCCACCCCAGCTTCCAGTTAGCTGTAGAGTGGCTTAACACTTAGTATGCATGGAGAGCCAAGGATCACCAGACATTTGAGGGGAGCCTTCAACACAAAAGGCAGAGACCAAAACAAAGGAAACAGACAATACTCAATGCAGAGAACCCTAACTTCAAAAAACTATCTTTAGAGACAAAATTGATAGAAATTGCAGCTAGGAAACAAGAACAGAATGCTATTTTTTTTAATGGAATAATAAAAGAGCTCTTGAAAATTTAAATGTAGCCAGAATTTTAGCAAGAGAATCCTTGTCATATGAAATTTTCATGGAAGCCCAATGTAAAATGTATTAAAATGGTATATCATTAGCATAAATGTATGTTAAAGTGTGTACGTGTGGCTTCTGAGCTGCTGGGAATCCCCAGGGGGATGCAGGAGATGTACTCACATGCCTCTCAGCTGCTGCTATTTTGCTCTACTTACATTCTGAATTTTTCTTTGTGATGTTTTCCCCTTTTTTCTGCCTATGGCCACTGGTACTCCACATTTCTTCATGTAATAATACTTCTAAAGTTAAGATGCTTTCAACTTCAGGTAAGAGAAACTCCTATTTAAACCAGTTTCATTAATAAAGACATTATCTCACCCAACAGGAGGTGGGTTTCTGGATTGGCTGGTTCAGTGGTTGGAAAAGGGGCAGGGACCCCTGTATTAGTTTTCTTAAAACAATGTGCATTTATCACTTTAATTTTCTTAAAAACACCATTTGTGCTACAGAAATAAAAAGAGCAGACATACTGAAATGAGTACATAACAAATTTTAATACACTGGAGACCACTGATGTATTAACTTGTGCTGCCCAATCAAGAATTGCTGTAGAGACCTCCTGCCATGCCTGTGCATTTCAATGTACTTCTTATTAGTGCATCATTGTTTAGGAAGGTCAGAGCTCTGCCCTGGCCTTTTAAAAATTCAAGCCTGTACATTCTGGTACAGGTGTGCAAGGCAGTATACCTCTACAGCACGTTCATCACATTCAAATGTGTCCAGCAAGACCCAGGCATTCGGTCACACATTCTAGTCACGGTACAAAGGTCAGTCACAAAATAATGAATAACAAATCCAGAAGCGACTTCACTTTCAAACAAACATTTCCTGCTCTTTCAAGTTTTTGGATTTTGACAGGAGAATATCCTGACATTGCAAGATGAGGTGTTCAAAATTTTGTCGGTTTACTATTATTTAGCTGTGTCAGGATTTTTCTCATTTCTGTGTAACTAAAATAAAACAAAGGAATAAGTAGACCACTAAGGCTGACAAAACTGCAAATGACTCCCAATTTCACATTTGTATCAAAATAGCTTCATCAGCCACTGTTTTTATATATCGTTGTCACCAATCTGAAACTTTAACATACATTGTGCTAATAAAATACTATTTTAATTATTTTATATTGAGATTCCATTACATTTAATTTGACAAAAGGGATAGTCATATATATGTAGCACACTATTCTTAGGTTATGTTTCCCTGTCTTGGACAACACCGTGGTCTTGGTTTCACACAGGTCCTAAACAAGTAATCAATGCAAAACTATTTTGCAGGTCTGAAGTAGTCACACCAATGTAAAAATCAACACTCAAACTCTTAAGCTTTTCTAAATCATTCCAATGATGCTATAACTGTTATGTAAAGAACATGTGCTAATTATAAGTAATCTGATCATAGTCTCAATTTATATTGATTGTTTCATCACTATGTCATTTATCAGAAATGAAATGTGCCAATGATGCACAGGTAACAGGCTTAAAATTTTCTAGTAGTTTTTAATGTATTTTATAATTATACTGTAACAGTAAACTCTTAGATGTTTTATGATTACATCACAGCAAGCTCGTTTATTGCGACAAAAACAATATGCTAAAAGACAAATAAATTACTATAGTTAAATATGCACAGCTTATTGACATTTTTCTTAAGACAAAAAATTGGGGTTCATCCAGTGAAGTACAGACACTCTGCCACCACCTTTGTTAGCAAAATGGATTCCATCTTGAATGTCTTGTTAAGTGTTAGAGGGCTTTTGTTTTTCTTTTAGCCACTAAATTTTTGAGGAAAAATTCACCTATTTAGGAAAAACAAAAATATGTTATCAATTTGAAGTCAATTTCAGAATAATTACGCTTCAGTGTTTCCTTTTAAAGAAGACTTTTGTGTTTATTGGCATTTACGTCTCCTCAAATCCCAATGGCAATAATATTTCCTTCATCTTGGGCTCTTTCCCCAACAAAATGATGTCATTACTCTTAAAAAAAATTTTTTTTATTATCACTACAGTCTCTACTATTATTCTTTTTTCTTTATTTTTTTCATCACCATTTAGTCCCCCATATTCTTTTCCACCTCCACCCATGTCCCCTCCCCCACAATTACAACACTGTTGTCTGTGTCCATGAGTTTTTTTTCTTTTTTGCTCAATCCCTCCATCTTCCCCAACATTCCTCCCCCACCAGAGCTCTCTGCCTGCTATCTATGAGTCTCTCTATTTTGCTTGTCAGTTCAGTTTGTTCATTAAATTCCATATGAGTGAAATCATATACTATTATTCTTTTTAGTAACTCAGTTTTATAAAGGGTGAAGCTATTGTATCCATGGGTCTTCTTCTGTACATTTATTCCACACTATGTGCACTATCTATTTCTCATTACTGACAAAGGTATTGCTGTTGGCACAATTCATTTCAGAGAGCAATTCTGCTACATTAGCAGTCTAGATCTGATGCTTATAAAACAGACCTTGTTGCAGTTGAGCAGATTCATCTGATGGAATCTCTTTAGCTTATTCCCCTCTAGGGAAGCAAGAGCTCTTCATATATAATGCGCTTTCTCTCCGCCCCCTAAGGTGTGCCTGTGCTATAAGTTAGCTGCTTAGAGGGGACACATTCACTCTTCAGGTCATTAGGGTTCCATTTAGTCTATCACTGCTACAGCAAAGCTCAATGCTTATTGGCAGAGCTCAGAGCTGCAGGTCTGATTTTATGAGTCTGATTAACCTCTCTTTGTCATCTAAATATAGGGGTAGAATTGCAACTATCCTATCCGTATACAATCACCAAGAACCCCAAGGCTCATAAACTAGCCAAGTAATGGAGAAAATAATCCATGCTGCTCCATACTTCTATCTAAATAAATCTGATAGGAGTGAAACCAATGTTATCATTATCAGACTAATCCAGCATCTGAATCTAATGCTCTAAAACCAGAATTTATCTTTTACTGGTAATTTAAAGCATTAGAATGTTCATAATTCACTTCCTTATAAATGCTAGAAACTTTCCTTAAAAAAAAAAAACCCAAAAAAACCAAACAAACCAAAAACCCAATAAAATAAAAGCTCCTTTCAAAGGATAGTACCCTACTTTGAATACTACCACTCTAGAAGTTGTCATTTTTTTTCCTATTCTTTATATATAGTTTTAGCTTGCCAGCACCACTTGAAGAAGAATATATCACTTGTAATTATTGGTTTTTCAAAGCCCCCACATCCTGTCAGTCTGTTGAATCAAATTCTTGGGTTTTGTAACTAGGATAAGCTATTGTTACTTCATTAAATTTCTTTACAGGTACACACTAAATATTAATTATACTTGAACATTAATTTTTATAAATAGAATTCATGCCTAATTTAAGCATATCTATGATTTAGGCCCTAATTTATAATAGTCATTTAAAAGATCAGTAATAGTAATAACATAGTTTAGACATATCCCCCAAATAACTAGCTGTTTATTCTTCAAAAATTAATAATTGCTAAGTCTAACTGACAGGGAAAACACTGTAAAGATTTTTTGGATTAAGTTCAATTTTCCGATAAGTTCTCATAGACCTCTTGATGGCCATTATCACATGATTTTTAATCTCTTGGAAAAGGTTTTTATTTTCATTAGCTCAAACTATGGATCAAAATAAGAGCTGAAATGATAAAGGTGAAAAATTGCAATGTAGCTAGTAAAAACACTAAAAATTTTTATAGGGAAAATGATCTTACGGATTTTTTTCTGTTGCTTCAGGGAGGAAAAACACAAAGCTATTAATGGTGCAAGCAGTAATGCTGTTAAATAAATACTTTTCAGGGTTTAAATTGATCTAAAATTCAGAGTTTGGAGATGCAGCTGGAGTTACTGTCAAATGACTATACGTTTTCCAGAAAACCATTTTATATGCTTGACTGATTTGTCATTTCTGAATAACCTAAGATTGAAATCCACACATAGAATAAATTGATTACTTCTGCTTTCATCAGAGTAGCTGAGCTATGACATATTGAAGTAGGGAAGGGAAGGAGTCTTCATTTAACAAACAAACTAGGTTTAAGAGTCATTTTTTCCTCAATATGACCCTTAGGGAGCAAATCTTTTAAGGATGTCCCCCCCACCCCCTCTTTTTTTCCTTTTTCACAAAAGACAGCCACAACTATTGTCATTTAAATGTGAAAACTTATGGTCTACATGAAACTATCCCCTGCGGCCTAACTCACCTGCTTTATATGAAGAACGCACCAGAGGGCCACTTGCAGTATAATGGAATCCAAGTTCACGTCCTACTTTTTCCCAGTACTTGAACTTCTCAGGAGTAATGTACTCTTCAACCTAGACTTAAAGAATTAATTCTGACTCTAGAATTTCCATAAACCATTTTGATTCTACAGAAAATTGACACCCATGCATTCAGGGTGGCTTTAACTTCATAATTTATCCAGGTGCCCCCAGGTTTCTTCTCCTCCCTCCTCGCTGACTTCCGGTCTACTGGCTACCTGCTGGCCCCTCTTTCAGAACATAATTACATGGAATTAGAAAGGAAGGGAAACAAATCAATTTTTATTAACTATTCCAAAAGACAGAGAAAGAAAATGAGATTATTTAGAGAGACTGTTTATCGACATCACTTCTTTATCAACTAACAAGTATAACCAAGAATTAGTTACTCCTGTAAGACTCTCGAGGACTAGACTGTGTCTTACTACTCATCGTGTATCGTCTGCTTAGCATCGTGTCTGGCACATGGTCACTACTCAAGAAAAGTTTCTTGACTGAATGAATAAATGCCCAATATAAAAATAGGGAGACTAACTTATTTCTTCCTTCATCTCTGGCTCTTGTATAACTCTAAAACAAATCACAAGATCACCAACTGGGAATGAATGTAATTTCCCAACTTTTAAATCTTTTTTATTGGTTCACTTTATAAGTCATATAATTTTGGGGGCAGCAAATAAGTGCCAGTGTAACTGCTTTGTGCCGATAATAAAATGGACACTGGAACTTGAAAATATACATGGAACATATTACTAAAAAGCCAGGAAATTTTTACTTTTACCTGTGGACAATAAAGATTTAATTCAAATTACCAACAAACATTTGGCAATTCATGGTAGCTGTACCTTGAGGTGGCGCTTTGTTGGCTGCATATACTGTCCTAACGTCAAACAGTCCACATCTGCCTCACGAAGTGCTAGAGGAAAAAAAAGCACACAATATTTTAGCAGGTGTTTTTATGATGCTAAAATTGTAGATTTAAGCATAATTTTATAGAACATCATTTTACTACAGAACAGTGAACTTTGCCCTGGCCTATAATCCTGATGTTGGAAAATAAGACGATACCCATCCATTCAAAGGTATTTATGTGCCAGGAAATATGGTAAGAATTGAAAACATAGGAACGATTAAGACAATCATGTGGGGCTGACATAAGGACGAACAACTCCAATTCTACAGAATGCTAAAATAGGGGTGGAAAGTGTCTAGAGCAGGAGTCTGTTAGGCAGAAAAGATGAAGGAAACAGTGTATTGAAGGCCCCAAAACACCCATATTATAGACCAGACATGCTATACTGGGCTTTTGCTAAATGTACAAGATACGCTCTGGGGGATGTGATTTGATCTCTGACTTCAGAACCTTTCTAGTAAATGAGTATGCACTGTGGTGAAGAGAAGCTTTTAATTACTATTTGAACTTATTACTCTTTGAAACAATAAATAGCTGCAAGAAGGCCAAGGACTTTCAGGTAAAATAAAAGCTTTTATATTAAAAAATTTAAAAAGCCCAAGAATTACAAAGCAAATAGGCTTATGGGACTAAGGTTAGCAAAGTTCAAAATATATCCTGTTATGTGACAATGTTACCAGTAAGTTCTTCCTCAAAGGCGTGGATTCATCTTACTCATCCTTAAACTGTCAGTGCCGGCCAGAGCTCCTGGTACCAAGATGGCTCTAAAAAATTGTCCAACAACCAAACAAGAAAAATGGGCAAAATCATGTTCTAACTTTTTTTTAAAAAAGTATGTCTTTATTAATTTCAGAGAGAGGAAGGGAGAGGGAGAGAGAGAGTTGAAACATCATTGATGAGAGAGTCACTGATGGGCTGCCCCCGACTGGGGATCAAGCCTGCAACCCAGGCATGTGCTCTGACCAGGAATCGAAATGTGATCTCCTGGATTCTAGGTCGATGCTCAACCACTGAGCCATGCCCGGCCGGGGCCTATTCTAACTTGATAAAAGGGTAGGAAATAAAATGAGATATGAACTTCATATCCTGAGCTTCCTGCATATCATTCCACAAACTTCTAAGAAAACATACTTCCTTTCCTTTTTATGTTATTGTTTATAACCATACACTGTATTTAATTCTTTTTGGCACTTTCACTGAGGAAGCATAACAGGGCCTTCAAAGTGGGGTTCCTGCTATTATTCAAATTAAACAGGAACGGGTTTTCATTCTTCGGTTTCCTTACCTTTCATTGTTGCATACACTTGCTCGTCATTCTCGCCTAAACCCAGCATTATAGATGTTTTAGAAATAACATCAGGCTGAACCTCCTTGGCGAGCTTCAGGACACGTAGAGACTGGTCGAAATTAGCCCTGGGATCACGAACTTTCCTTGAAAACAGCAGGGCTGTTGTCAGTGAGGGTAACCACAGGCTCAACTAAGCACATATTTACGTAAGCAACATGAAAGACCAGAAAAGCACATTCTGGACATTACATCATATGGTTCAATGGTGGAGTTTGTGCACAAATGTCTGTTACTTTAGAATAGAAAATAAGGCTTTGCTGGGCACCCCAGCTGTCAACTTTTAAGGTCTTTCAAGCCTGGGGCAGAGAAAAATGAAAATAAAAGTAATTCAATTTATGAAGTACTCATGGAGAAGCCAGAATTCTGAAGCTGAGAATGAGTGATTACAAGGGGTAGTCAAGAAAAAAGAGTGGAAGAAAGCCTCAGTATAGAACAAAGGAAAAACTGTTTAACTAAAACCCACATTTCAGGTCTGAAACTTTTATGATCATTTCTTTTCTAAAGACTGAGCTGCCCTCTGCTGGTGAGCATACAACATGGACGTCTCTTAGGTTAAAAAAAAAAAAATGCATCATTCTGGAATTTTCACTGGAAAGGATGTTTCTTAAGTGAAACCAGGGAAACTGGCACCCACTGGTGGTGGTATCATGAGATAGGACAGGTTTGGAACAGGCTGTCTGCCAGACTTAAACACAGGCCAAACCACCATGGCTTAAATGGGGACAAGATCCAATGGGTAGAAAGTTGCTGATGTTAAACCAGCCTTCATTTGAATTCAAATGCACCTTTATTTTGTGTAACTGATTTGTTGTAGTGGTTATTTTTAATCACAGACCAGTTCACAGAGAACAGAGGAAACCAATTTATGAGTTTAAAAAATAACCTCAAGACTGACAATACAGAAAGTCACTACTTTCTGAAAGTATTTCTCCACTGAATTTGTTATGTGCCCTAATGTTTATTATTTTAGTGTAAATGATCGTTATTCTTTATACTTCTTTCAAGTTCTATAACAGTACAATTTCTAAAAGCTAACAAAACCACTGTCAAATACTTTACTAAAGTTAATAAAAATGAATGCATTAACCCTGCTTGAAGGCTAACATAATTTTTAATTTTTTGAAATATGAACATAGTCATCAATGTGGAATAATAATCTGTAATTGTTCCTAACTACTAAAATTTTTTAGGAAAAGGAAGCTAGTGTCTACTTTTTAAAAAGAGATTTAAAATACATCTGAATACCGTTTTTTCTTCGGCATCATTTATTGCATATCTTAATGCCAAATGCATTTTTTAAATTTATTTTTAGAATTACAGTCAAAGTAATTGCTCTTGTGTAATTTTTTTTGAATACTGTTCTTTGAAAAAATAACTCATCGGCACTTGTAATATACTATCAAAAAAGGGAAAAAAATGGAGTAAAGACAGTCTCTTCAATAAGTGGTGCTGGTAAAATTGGATAGATACATGCAAAAAAATGAAACTAGACCACCAACTTTCACCATACACAAAAATAAACTCAAAATGGATAAAAGACTTAAATGTAAGTCACGAAACCATAAAAATCCTGGAAGAAAACATAGGCAGTAAAGTCACATACATCCCACGTAGTGGAATTTTCACTGATATATCTCCTAGGGTAAGAGAAACAAAAGAAAATAAACATATGGGACTACGTTGAACTAAAAAGCTTCTGCACAGCAAAAAAAATCAGCCTCAAAATACAAAGGAACCCCACGGTCTAGGAGAACATATTTGCCAAGGAAGTGTCTGATAAGGGGCTAATTTCCAAAGTGTACAAAGAACTCATACTACTCAGCAAGAGGAAGACAAACAACCCAATTAAGAAATGGGCAAAGGACCTGAATAGACACTTCTCCAAAGAGGACATACGGATGGCCAAGAGACACATGAGAAAATGCTCAACATCGCTACTCATGAGAGAGATGCAAATTAAAACCACAATGAGGGATCACTGCACACCTGTCAGAATGGCTCCATCAACAAATTCACAAACGACTCCTGCTGGCGAGGATGTGGAGGATGGGGAACCCCAGTACACTGCTGGTGGGAATGCAGACTGGTGGAACCACTATGGAAAATAGCATGGAGGTTCCTCAAAAATTAAAAATAAAGCTGTCTTTTGACCCAGTGATCCCACTTCTAGGAATATAACCTAAGAATCCTGAAACACTAATCAGAAAGAATATATGCACCCCGATGGTCATAGCAGCACAGTTTACAATAGCTAAGATCTGGAAACAGCCCAAGTGCCCACCAGCAGATGAGTGGATAAAAAGCTGTGGGACATTTACACCATGGAATACCACGCAGCTGTAAAGTAGAAGGATCTCGTACCCTTTGGGACAGTATGGATGGACCTGGAGAGTGTTATGCTAAGTGAAATAAGCCAGGCAGAGAAAGACAAACATCACATAATCTCGCTTATATGTGGAATCTAAAGAACTTATAAAATGATGAACAGAACAGATTCAATGACATGGAAGCATAGATCAGACTGACAAATGTCAGAAGGAGGGAGGAGGGCGGGTGGGTGGAGGGGGAGAGAGTAACCAAAGAATTTATATGCCTATATGCACAACCCAAGGACACGGACAATGGTGGGGAGAGAGACTGGGGAGGGAGATGGGATGGGGTGGAATGGGTAATTGGGGAGAAAAAGGGACATCTGTAATATTTTAAACAAAAATTAACATACAGGGAAAAGATGCTCATTTTGTGTGTATAAAAAATATACACACATAAAAATATATTTACACTTACATGTTAGAAATTGATATTACTGGGTAGAAATATTATGGGTGATGGTCACATTCTTTCATTGGCTATATTACCTGATTTTTCCGAATAGACATTTGTATGTTGTTTTAGTTTAAAAAAAAGTTCACTTTATACATGTAATCACCTCTGTAATTCTGGAACTGTTTCTACGTTATGTGCATATACATCTAATCCTGACAGAGCGACTTTTTCTATTGCTTTAAGATCTCCTCGGAAATCAGGGGTGAGACATTCCACAAGAATTTTTGGATTCCTAAGGGGAAAAAAAGATAAGTATCAAACTGAGGAGAACTGACGTAACTGCTGCTCAAAACATAAATCACCTTACTCATTCCGTATCAGTTTCAACACGTAATCTTTAGATCTCTGCAAAGAAAAGCATGAACATACAAATGTTTATATCTGAATTGTTAAACAGAAAAACAAACCCAGAACAGCAAATAATATGTACAAAGTGGTTAAAACACATCTGCGTGCAAACATCAATCAGGATAAATTTTGAGATTATGTAGATTTTAAAACTTTACTAAGTAGGCATTTAAAAAATATTTTTTAAGAAATTAAAATATAAGTATTAAAACATTAAATATAAAATATTTTTTATTCTTTAGAAATAGTGGGGCAATTCTATGTGAATGTAAACATTATTTGATTGGTTTTTATTTCTTTTTTAAAAATATATCTTTATTGATTTCAGAGAGAGGAAAGGAGAGGGAGAGAGAGAGATAGAAACATCAATGATGAGAGAGTCCCGCAACCCGGGCATGTGCCCTGACCAGGAATCGAACCCCGATTGCCTAGATCCTAGGTAGACCGACGCTCAACCGATGAGCCACGCCTGGTCGGGCACTTTTTTATTTCTTTTAAAATTCATCAAATAGTGCCCTCCTCCCTTCCTCTAGGCAAATATTTCACAAGTGCTATGGGCTTTAAAAACTATTCTGAGAGCCCAGCTGGTGTGGCTCAGTGGTTGAGCATCGATTCCAGGTCAGGGCATGTGCCTGGGTTTCAGGCTCAGTCCCCTACTGGGGATGTGCAGGAGGTGGCCAATCAATGTTTTTAGCTCTCTATCCCTCTCCCTGCCTCTCTCTAAAATCAATAAACATACACACACACACACACAAACTATTCTGAGTTGCTAAGTCAATACCTTTGTTTAAATGAAATACAAGCTAAATATTAATCTTCCTATTTATATCGGCTATATCTATGTATTCAAGCATTAAAATGTGAACTAGCTCACAGAGCTGCTTTCTCTGATAGCAGCAGAAATAACTGGAACAGCTGACAAATTTTTCCACAAGCCTTACTGCAAAGTTTTTAGAGTGGTTTCCTGAGAGAACAGATGTAGAAAGAACCACATATATGCCCTCTCATGGATATAAAAGATGTTGAAAGAATACATCCGATAACTCAGTTTGTTAACTGCAAGTTGAAATCCATTAGTAGTTTGTGAAATCAATTTAGTGGGTTGCAAACAAAAAAATTTTTTAATGACTTATAAAAAAATTAAATAGAAAATATTGTGGGAATCATTGAGAAAACATTTACTAAGTGTGTAAGGTGTAGACTAGCACTGAGCTATAGGAAATAAGCATAACTCCTTTTTTTTTAAATCTTATTAAATAGATGAGATTAAAATAATGAAAATGTGGATTACGGGTAGAATTCCAAGGGCATGTGAATCTAGATAAAATCTGTGTCAAGATGGTAGCTTACCTCATCCTTATTCCTTCTAGATGACAATTTATTCAAAATCAGTGCTAGGAGGACTGCACTTTTATGCTTATTTTAAAATGACTCGAAGTTTAGACTAGCACTTAAATATGCAGCAGGGGCTGGTCCATAGATAAGTTTGTGACCCTGAATCCCTAAAATTTCTGCAAATACGTATCTGTATATTCATATATGCTTTTTCTGGAAAAAAGGCCACATAATTTCCAATACATTATCAGAGGGGTTTATAACACCCTTAAAAAGTTAATAACCACTGCTTTGAAGTAAAGACCTTAAAGAAATTAGATTTATATAAGTCGAAAAAAGTCTTTAAATTATATAAGCAAATGCCAAAACAAGTACCTTTCCTTTAAGTAAGATACAGTCTTTGCAAAGTGTTCAGCTCCTCCATCGGGCAAATCTAGAAACGAGAGAGCCCACTGATCAAGGTGATGTCACAACTTAGGAAGAGCCAATTTTTGGAAGAGATAATGATGACACACTAACCATCTCGATCCACGGATGTCAGGACAACATAATCCAGACCCCACTCGGCAATTGCCTTTGCAGTATTGTAGGGCTCATTGGCATCCAGTGGAGGTGGCTTTCTTGCAGTCTTAACAGAACAAAATCTGCAACCTCTTGTACATGTGTCACCCATCAACTAGAATAGATGTTACAATTTAAATCAAGTAGACAAATGACCCTCAAGAATATAATATTGATAGAATAAAGTTACAAAGAATGAATACAACTTGATTCTGTTTATAAGAAATTTGAACCACTCAAAGCTAAGCAATATAGTTACGGGACACAAATGTAATGTGATAAAACTAGAAAAAATATGAAATGATAAACTCAGAATTAAGAATGGTATTAAGGGAAAAACAAAGGGGATGGGATCAGCAAGGGAAACACAGGTGGGCTCAAAGATAATGCTAATGCTCCACTCTGAAACTGGAGGTATCAGGGTGTCTGTTGTATTGGTATTCTAACACATAAGTTATAAAGATTCATTTGTATCTATTTAATAATAAAAAAATAACTTTAAAAGAAATAAAATATTTAATTAACATCAATATGCAGGTCTCTGTGGAGATTAAACAGAAGGCGCAGTTCCTTCTTGTTAAATGGATAAAACAAAAAACACAAAAAGTTAATAATCTGCTTTTTGTAGGTATCACTCTTTCTCCAGGACACTGCTTCTGCTGCCACAGGTCACTATCATGTTCTGCCCCCTGCAAGCACAGCCATTGCAGGTGTTCTAGGGCCACTAGAGTTTCAAAGCCCCACAGTAGGGGTTGTAGTTGGGGGGAGAAAGATCCTAAAGCTGCTCTTTCCCTTTATGTTTAACTCTCTGAGGGGACTCACAGCAATGATGCTTAGGCCCAATTTCTCACAGAGTTTTACTGAAACAATGAACTCTTCCCAGGAATCAGTCAACAGTGGGGAATGGGACAAGGTAAGGGGTGACACCAGAGACTTCCATCATGGAGTATTCAGAATTATTCCTTCCTTTATGAATTGAGCTCCTTGGTTGGCTCTGCATTATGAGAAGGAGCTCTATTTCATAAGAATCCTAGTTCCTCACGTAAACAGCCTCCTGCTGGTACAACTCAACAGTTTATCAGACATTCCCCAACAAGTATGAACTTTTAGTTGCATATAATTTAGGTTTAACCCCAATACCTCAATATCTATACCCCTCTGGATAAATATGGTAGACTGCACTGTTAATCCCAATTCTTACACCACAAAATTAAGGTTATATATCCATTTGCCATGTAACTTGCAGACCCCTCCACCAGATGAGGAGCTTATGTCTCTATCTCAACTGATTATGGCTAGGCCGTGTGTCTTACTTTGGCCAATAGAATAGCAGGCATGACCAAGCAGAAACCTCAAATGTGCATAGATGGTTGGCTTGCCCTCTCCTACTCCTTCCATTCCCCCTTGTAAGAATATGACTTGAAGAGCTGCTAGTCCAAAGTGAATAAAGCTCTGTAAAGCAGACCTGAACCCAACCTACTTCCTGGAGTTCAGCTTAGCTAAGTCAAGATCAGCTGAACCCCACCAAAAGACCCGTCAGAAAAATAAACTCTTGTTGTTTGGGGGGATAAAAGAAGTTAAGCAACCATAAGTAACATTTCCAAAACTTAATAGAAGATATAGCTCAAGACAGCACATGATTAACTGTTAGACAGACTGAAGAATCAATAAATTTATTCACAAAAGGGAGAGATCATAATAGGCTGGTTTATTTTGTCGCCCCCCCCTTACATTTCACATAAATTCATATGAAATGAAAAATCTAATCAGAGGTACAGAATGAACATTTTTAGGAGAAAGACATAAAAAATTTCCTTTCACCCAGCTGGTATGGCTCGGTGGTTGAGCATCAAGCTATGATGCAAGAGATTGCAGTTTGATTCCCAGTCAGGACACATGCCCGGGTTGCGAGCTCGATCCCTGGCGGGGGCTGTGCAGGAGGCAGCCAATCAATGACTCCCTTATCACTGATGTTTCTTTCTCTCTCTCTCCTGTCCTCTCTCTGAAATAAAGATATATTTAAAAAAATTTTTCCTTTCAATTTCTAGACTAAAGCTTTAGAGTTTGAGACTGGCCTTACCATGATCGTGGCTGTGGCAGTGGCATATTCTCCACCTCCCCAACACTCTCCAATATTGGGACATCGAGCTTCCTCACACACCTGTGAGTAAAAGGGAACTGAATACAATCAGGTTGAAAATATTTACCAATTGAACAAATAAACAAGTGATCAGGCATTTTACACTGTATATCTTTACAATATATTTATGAAGAAATTCACTATTCAAAATGCTGTTAAACTGCCAAACTGTACATTTATTAGGATCCCATTTTTAAGTTAAAAACTATATAAATGTATATATTTTATATGTGCAAAGAAAAGGTCTGGAAGGATATATGTTGAACAGTTAAAGGGGTGTAGTTAACATTTGGGATTACGTATATGATGTTTCACATTTAATATTATACTTTTTCCAACAAGCATGTTCTTCACTTGCAATATAAAACAAACAAACCCTCATTTCCTAAGTTGCAGGAAAACCTTTTTCCCCCACTATTAAATGAGTAGCTAAAAAATTCAATTACTTTTTGTTTCTTCTGCAGAGAAAATGATTTTTAAATATTTCCATTATGATAGTAATGCATCCTAAACACTTTCCTTGCTCTTATTGATATATATTTTATTAATTTTTAGGTTACACATACATAGAAAATTTATGGCTTTTGGTTAAGAGAAATATTTAACACGTTGACAACTTACTGTATGGAGATTTAAATTCCGCAAAGTATTTTTCAGTTTATTGTAATTTTTCCCTATGGGAATCTCTGTCTTTAGCCATGGAGGTAGTCTCAACCTGAGGAAAACCAAAACTATCCATTAACAAACATTCCTAAATATTAGTACAGCTTTAAAATTACTTTGATCTATTACAATTCCTAGTTAAGAGGTTTTTTCTCCCCATAATCATGGGTTAAGTCTTATAATTTTTGCCATAGGAGTTAACACGGAGATTCAAATTTATATTTGCTCAAACCCTTTAGAAAGTACCGATATTTGTGTCTAACAGGGCACTATGCTCATGTCTACCTTTTGCAAAGGCACAGAGTAACACTATCCTAATAAAAACCCACTTGTGATCTAGAAGTTGTTGAGTAAAGTATCCAGCAAAACAATTTGTCCTCTGCATAAAATTTCTTCATCATTCTTTTAAATTAAGGCAAGGACTCCAAGAAGCAACAAATTAGATCATAAACACTCAGAATGAAAAAATTTATCAAGGTCTAATAGACTAGTAGCAAGGTAACAACCTTCACTTTTTGAAGAAATTTGATGCTGAATAGAAAATAGGAGATGGAGCTGTAGGATGGTTCAGTCCTAGGAAGGTTGAAGGAAAATTGTCAAAGGGTACAGAGAAGAGGATTCCAACAACTTCACCCACTTACCTATTCTCTGTCTGTTATCACTTCTTTCTAATGACTTTAAGCTAAATTTAACAAGTCTGATTAAAAATATACTCTAGAGCTTGGTTATATCTGAAAATAATGCATGATGAAGGAATGGGACATTAAAATTGCCTCAAATTTTCAATTACCTTTCTCCTTTCTGGCGTTTTAAGTTTCCTTTATAGTCATCCCAGGTGCTTTTGTCTGCAAGATCACCAGATACAAAATCTTGAAGGTCTGGTCCATTCTGTAAAAATTCCTTCTTTTCATCTGGCAAGGAACTTACTGCTCTGCCTGGACTGCATAAATATTTTCCAAATATCTAAAGAAAGAATTCATTATGACATTTATTTAGAGGGGTTTGAAATAATTTACATTTAACATATTTAATACCACCTTTCCCCATCCTCCCCTGCAAATACCAAAACCCAAGGATGCTCAAGTCCCCTGTATAAAATGAACTGGATCAACGCATACAATCCTACCTTCCCATTGGGACTCCCAAAGGCAGATGGAAACCTGTACAGGTACTTGCTGAAAAAAATCCCCGTATTAAGTGGACCTTTGCAGTTCAGACCCATGTTGTTCAAGGGTCAACTGTACATCTGTTGACCATAAGAACTCAGTGGCTTCTAGATCTGAACACAAACGTGACAAGATAGCCCAAACACTATAAAATTAATGAGACGGTACATCTAACGCAAAAAACCTTCAACAATTCAAAAGGAGCGCCTGTTAATGGTGCTGCACTATTGCTACAGCATTTGTCCTTGTCTCCGTGAAAGCCTAGAGCACAAGTTTGTGTTCTCAGCCTCCAGAGTGGTGTCTAGTACATAGTAAGAGTCCAACCCAAATAGTAAGGGGTGCTCAACGCAGTGTTCCTATAATGCTCCAAAAAACATAGGGTGCAAATCACTGAAAAACAGAAAGAGAAGCTTTCAGCGCCAGAGACCCTACAAACAAACCAATAGCAGAGACTCTACCACATGGGGGTGTCGAGAGCATTAAATGATACCACCTGAAAAAAGTTTATAGCGGTGCCCGGATAGAAAGAAGTGGTCAGAAATTGCTGACTTTATTATTGGGCGCACTGAAGAGATGGGAGTCCCCCACGCCCGCACCCTGCAAATCCCGCCACTCACCGGGGCCCTCACGGTGCGGACGACGACACCGCAGCGTAACGACATCTCCCTCTTTTGTCTTCTAGTAGGGTCAAGGGATCTGGTTCCCAGGAAAAGACAGACGGAGAATCGTCTCAGGATCTATGACAGATCACCTGAGCCACCGCCGAGGGGGCGGGACTTAAGGCTGCCTCGCGATTGGTTGCTATAGCCTACTGGCGTCGCGCGCTCATGACGCCATACGCAGGGCATTACGGCTACAAGAACGTGATGACGAAAGACGCTCCCTCTTTGCCGCATCTACTGCGAGGTAAGGTTATGTCTGTTACTCGGTGGGACCCGGGAATCTGAAGCCATCGACTCCAGGAAAGCCATCGGCGCCGGTCTGGCGCTGGGAGGCTTTATCCTGGTTGTCCCCCCGCGCGGCGAGCCCTGTATGGACTTGGAGACACTGGCGTTCGCGCTCTGCCCCGGGCTTTTCGGCCTACCCCGCCTCTTAGCCTTGCCGGGATGGCGCCTCCCTGATAGGGCTCCCAGGGTTGTGAGGGGCCGGAGTTAGCCCGCTGGGCCTCCTGACAGCGCTTAGGCAGCGGCTGCTGCTCGCAGGGCAGGTCGCACTGGGGCCCGCTCTCCCTTTTGGCCCACCTGTCACCTCCCCGGGGTTTTTGCCTGCCGGTCTCGGATAGGAGTTGAACTCTGGGCAGGGTAGTTTGGTCGAAAATAGGCCCTGCTCAGGTCTTTTTACCCAAGTGCTTGTGTTTCAGGATGAAGACCATTCTCAGCAATCAGACTGTCGACATCCCGGAAAATGGTAGGAGACTTGATGCTTGCCTTTTTCTTTTTCTAACGTCTTTACTACGCGCTCTGTACCTTGCTCGGAGGCCTCACCGATGCCTTCTCTCTTAGTGGACATCACTCTGAAGGGACGCACAGTGATTGTGAAGGGCCCCAGAGGCACCCTGCGGAGGGATTTCAACCACATCAATGTAGAACTCAGTCTCCTTGGAAAGAAAAAGAAGAGGGTGAGTTTTGGGAGGTTTTTATGACGCCTCAATTGCTTGTTTGGAAGGTCGTGATTTAATAGTATCACATTTGGCTGCTTTAAATAGGACAGAATTGAGGTTTAATGTTTTAGCTTAAAATTTGGTGTCCAAAATTGTAGCTAGTTTCCATGTTAGTGTTTTAGCTTAGTTGGAGAACCAGATTGGGAAGAGTGGGTTATAAAACTCCATACTGGTAGTCATGGTTAGTGGTAGGTCTTAATACTGTTGCAAGTTAGGTTTATTTTCCTCGTGATTGTTTAGTAAGAATATTCGGAACCAGGCAGTAGACTTTTTTAAACCTAGCATTTTAGCTTTCTAGAAGTGAAGTTTGATGCCACTGCTCCAAAATGGGTGTTTCTGGGTTGTCATTCCTTTGTAAAATTGTGTGCATGTGATGAATAGTAATAACAGTGTTTGTTAATTGAGGGCTTTGTATGTGGTTATATCTTTCCAGTTGAAAATCATGTGCTTTAATTAGGCCTAATGTTAGAATCTAGAGTAATTCTATAGATAAATGGACTGCTTTCTTCCAAGCGTACTTACTACTGGAAAGAGTCTGCTAAAGTTTTTGTTCTGTTACAGCTCCGTGTTGACAAATGGTGGGGAAATAGAAAGGAACTGGCCACAGTTCGCACTATCTGCAGTCATGTACAGAACATGATCAAAGGTGTTACACTGGTAAGCAGATTGATCAGAAAACTTTGTTTTGGAAGGGGAGGTTTCTTGGCTGTACTTTATGTAACATAAATGCCTACTGTAGAAAATAGATTACACATGTAATTTATTGAGATTCCTGAGCTGTAGAACATGGGAAAAGATGATCTTAGCAAATGTGTTTAATAGCCAGCCATCCTTGGTGTTTGGGATTAAGTGACCAATGCAAGTAAAGACCGGATGGTCTTAGTAGGCTGATGTTTTTCACGCAAAATTAGATTCACACCTTGAGAGTGTGTGTGTTTTTAATAGAAAATGTAGCACATAAGGTAGGCTTTTATTTTTGTTTGTTTTTGTTGGTATACCTGGCACCACCAAGGCCTCTTGTAATGATAGGAAAAGATGGATCTGATTTCTGAGCTCCCTGTTCATTTCCATAAAAGGATATTTGATGTTACTATTTTCTTTCCAAACCCCTCTCCCTCAGCCTTTAAAATAAATTGTGTGCTTCTGCTTTGGCTGAAATGCTTTTCATTAAAACTTTACCCTCCTAGAGTACACCTGATAATGGCAACCTGTACTTAACTCCATTATAAGCCCATCTTGTCATGTTTCCCCTGCTTACCCTTGTTCCCAAGCTAAGTTCCTTGAGGGCAGGGTGCCCGTCTTTTTTTTTCTTTTTCTTTTTTTTTTTTTGTCTTTATTGATTTCAGAGAAGAAAGGAGAGGGGGAGAGAGAGAGATAGAAACATCAATGATGAGAGAGTCATTGATCAGCTGCCTCCTGTACGCCCCTGACCAGGGATTGAGCCCACAACCCGAGCATGTGCCTTGACCGGGAATCGAACCCTGATTGCCTGGATCGTAGGTCAACATTCAACCGCTGAGCCATGCCCAGCTAGGCAAGGGTGCCTGTCTTAATATCCTTAGTTCTTGCCAGCTGAATTAAGTTACTCCCTTAGTAACTTAATTCAATAAATGTTTGTCTAATGTCCAAGGTAAAGGACTTTGGGGTTCTTATTAAAAGAAGCTAGCATTGATTACTATGGGCATAGGAGGTAGTAAAATAATGCTTCCTTAATATAGTCAGTACTATTGTAGTAACTTTGTATGGTGCCAGATAGGAATGTAAACTAAATGAAAAAAGTTAGTAAAAAATAATGCTCCCTTAAGGAGCTTTACAGTCCAGTGAGGAGACACTGAAACAACTGTTTGTGTATAAAATTTTTGTAGGGGTTGGTGCAGGTGACAGTTATAAAACCTTGACAGTGAGTGCTATGTGAGGACTGTTTTGTTTTTAAATTATAAGTATAATGTAAGTATTCCACAAAATTCAAAAACTGGATTTCTTGTCTGTCACATTTCTCAGCATTGCTAATTATTTACTTAATGCAGGGCTTCCGTTACAAGATGAGGTCGGTGTATGCCCATTTTCCCATCAACGTTGTTATTCAGGAGAATGGTTCTCTTGTTGAAATCAGAAATTTCTTGGGTGAAAAATACATCCGCAGAGTTCGGATGAGAACAGGTACGTGCATACCTTCACATATGGTTCAGAAATTTTTCCTTTATACTTGTGAAGGCTGGTTTTAGCTATAAATAAAACCAGATTTATTTCAGAATAGTCTGTTTTGATTATGCTTATAGTAACTCTTGGTGCTAATTAAGGCTTCATCATATTTATTGTACCAATTGTGATTCCTGAAGGCTTTTATTTTACATTGAAGTAAAATTTTATTTCACATTGGCAGGGCATGGTAGTTGTGTTATCTGTAAAATTGGGAACATCCTCGTGACTGATGAGTTGAAGTTGAAATGCACTTAGAACAGTTCTTGCCTGATACATGGTAAACACCAAAGCATTAGGAAAAAAATTTTTGGTTAGTCCTCATCTGAGGGTATTTTTTTCCCCATTGATTTTTAGGGGCAGGGGGACACATCCATTGGTTGCCTCCCGCATGTGTCCTGACCGACTGGGGCCAGGGATAGACCTGCAACCCTTAAGCGTTTCTGAGCAACACTGGCCAGAAAATTTTAAAGCTTATAAGCTCTTGATGCTTTTTGATTTCATTGAGGTCAGTAGGGTGGGAAGAACGGATTTTTAGTACTAATTTAATGGCTCTATGGGAATATTATGTTAGATATGATCAATATTTAATTTGAACCCTTGTGTAAAAAATAAACTTTGAGGGCTCCCAAATACAGGGTGGGGCAAAACTAGGTTTACAGTTTGTCTGTCTTTTGTGTTGTTGTTGTTTTTTTTAATATATCTTTATTCTAGAGAGAGAGATAGAGACATCAGTGATGAAAGAGTCATCATTGATAGACTGCCTCCTTCACACCCCCAACTGGGGATCAAGCCCGCAATTCGGGCGTGTGCTCTGACCAGGAATCAAACCTCGATCTCCTGGATCCTAGGTCGATGCTCAACCGCTGAGGCACACCTGGCGTGGCTACAGTTTGTATGAATAATACAAGAATAAACTTTGGCCCTAGCTGGTTTGGTTCAGTGGTTAGTGTGTCGGCCCGTAGACTGACAGGTCTTGGGTTCAGTTCCGGCCAAGGGCACGGACGTTGGTTTCAGGCTCCATCCCCATCCACGGTTGGGGTGTGGGAGGCAACCAATTGAAGTATCTCTCTCACATCAATGTCTGCCACCCCCTCCCCTCCAAGAAAGCAATGGAAAAAATATCCTTGGGTGAGGATTTGAAAAAACAAAACAAAACTTGAGTGCTCACGACTGTAAGCCTACTTTTGTTCCACCCCATATATACAGTAGAAATAAGACTTGATACAAGCTTGTAGTACTGAGATGTACTAGCTGAATACCATCTTCTAGTACTCCTTAATTGAATCACAGATTCTAACTGCTCTGGGAGATTCATTCAAGCAGGAACACAAACAAGATTTTGTCGTAGAGAAATTGGCTCCTGTAAAACCAAAACCTCTCAAGAGAAGTTTTATTTGGTCTGTGGAGTTTTAAAGGGAATAAATTGCTTCTTGATTTAAATATTTTTAAATTAAATATTTCCTCTGCAGATCTGATTTTATGTTGACACTATGCAAATACCCTCTCCCCTTTTAGGTGTTGCTTGTTCAGTATCTCAAGCCCAGAAAGATGAGTTGATTCTTGAAGGAAACGACATTGAACTTGTATCGAATTCAGGTTTGTGTGTTTATTATGCCTATAAAATTTTGTGTGAATATTGTAATTGAATACGTGGTATTCTGTTCATCTGGTGAGCTTTTTTTAATTTTGGAAATTAAAAATTTTCCTCAGAATACTCAGGTTTTAAGATGGGTTTGGCTAGTAAAGTAATTTCCCTGTTTCTTATAGCTGCTTTGATTCAGCAAGCCACAACAGTTAAAAACAAGGATATCAGAAAATTTTTGGATGGTATCTATGTTTCTGAAAAAGGAAC